CACTGCCCCAAGAAAATCTCAAGTAAATGATTTTAAGTTAGAGCTACTTGACCCTACTGTATTTGTTGGGTCAAAATGCAGTAACAAACCAAATCAGTGACTTAAAACAGCAAAGATTTGTTTCTGATTCATGCTATATAGCTATCATGGATAGGCAACTGGATTCTGTTCTTCATTGCCACAAAGGGACCCAGATTGAAGAAGCAGTGATGATCTGGAGTAGGGTTCGTTGCAGTGACAGAGGGAAGTGAACCTTGGTGGACTTTGCAGAAAAACATTAAATGCTCTCATTAAATCCTGTCACATACACTTACAATTCATTGAGGTGAACTAGTCACAGGCACCTGTCCTTCAAAGAACCATCTATTTCACAGTCAGGAACTGCCAGGGTGGAGAATGAATATCCTGCCCAGGCTTCAGTGGTGCTGATCATCACATTTCATTTCCTTGATTAGGGTTTCTCTCTGACTCAAGCTCAAGATGCATTTTTGTTTATAACATTTCATACAATATATATTTTAAAAGTATAAATGTCCTCAAAGCAATCCTCCACGAAACATTGGGGCATAGTGAAATGAAATAATTAAGGTCAAATAGAAATTTAGAGATAGAAATAGAAAAATAATTCAAATCTCATACCACTGGTAATAAAGTTACTCAAGAATCCCACACACCAAACCCTAACAAAGATGTGGAGTAGTGCTGGATCCATTTGATTCTTTTGGTCATTATGCAATGATCCTTCATGTTGAGTGAATTCTGTGATAAATTCTTTTTATAGAATCTTTAGTTATACTTCAGTGAAGCAAATATATGCATATTCTTCAGGACAGCCTGACTGACCTTATCATATGACTGGATTACAGTCTATTATAGTAAAAGGATGTAGTGAAGTCATAATGTTCTCAAGGGCCAATTTACAAGTGCTTACAAAAGGTCAAAATGTAACAGGGTGGTCCCCAGGAAAGGGGGAGATTCCAGGTTTCCTGCCCCACCCAAAGGAGGGTGGTGCTGAGTAGAGAGAAGAAGCTGCAGAGGAGACTGAGGAAGGAAGGAAGCAGGATGGAGCCAGAAGGAGACCTGGAGGAGGCACATGGAGCTGAGAGACACGTGAAGAAACTGTACTTGCCTTTTGGTCGTGAACTGGGTGACACAGATGTGGGTGAGACCCGTGGGGAGGTGACAATGGCGGTTTTTGTCTTGATGTTGATTTTGCTCTTTCCCCTCCAGACTTGTCTTCTTGTTTCGGATCCTTTTCTGTGGGTCCCCACTGGAAGATGCTTTAGACTTGTGGCAGGTTTTAGGGTCTTGCTCTGGCCAATCCCATTTGGATGGACTTTTACCCATGAGGTAACTTTGGGTGCTTGATTTAGAAACTATATTCTTTGTCTTTTCTGTATTGTTTCCTAATTGTATTAAAGTTCCTTCCCATTAAAGTCTCCTATGTTTTGTGTTGATGCAATGTGGCAGATGGCAGAACCTGTCTAGAGCAGGCAGGTTTGCGGGGTCTGGAGTGCCCCTCTTCCTGCCCTGTAACAAAAACACCAAGCAAGCATAATTAAAAATGTTTTAGCTTTCCAAGCTTAAAATTTTCAGTGTCAAGAGCTCCTTGTTGCCCAATGTTTTCTCACATTTGTGAGAGCATAGTACTTTATTATATGCACCAAATTTTGGTTTGAGATATTGTAATACATGTGGCTGCATTATTGATGAACAAATTCTAAATTCAATATTAACCTGATTATATTTAAAATTTAGTCATCAAAAAGTTCCATTCAAAAAAGCCATCATCACAAGATGTATGCTAGAATGTCATAGCAGCAATATCTGGAATAGCTGCAAAATGAAAACTACCCTGACATCCATCACAAAAATGAATTCATGAATTGTAGTGTATTCATAGGGTGGGATAACATGAATGATCCATATATGCAGCAATATGGAATCTCAGAAATATAAAGTGGAGTAAAGAAGCCAAAAACAAAAGATGCAAACTTTATGATTCTATGCATACCATGTACAAAGAAAGACAAAACTCCTCTGTGTTGCTGAAAGCCAGACTAGGCAGCAATGGCAGGTGGTATGATGGGGGTCAGGGGTAGTAAATAATCTGGTTTTTGATCAGGATGGTAGATAGACATGTGTATTTCGACCGTAAAAATTCATGAAGCTGTATATACTTGAGACATATGGGTGCATACATGTACATGTTGCTTCTAAGTAGTTATAAAAACAAAGAAAATTCCAAGAATCCTATGGGTATTAAATTTCAAGCCAACATGATACTCCTCAATGTCATTCTGTAACTTGATCTCTACAGTGCCTAGAAAAGGTAGGGCAAGGTGGCTTTGTTGGGGCTAAGGTGTCCCTCCTCCACCAGCCCCAGGGAGCCCTGGAGCACATAGGTCCAACAACCTGCCCTGATCTGTGTGCAGGCTGGGCTGGGATTTTCCCTCTTTCATATCTGGTTCTAGGATTCTGAATGGATCTCTCAGTGAGCTAAATAGAACAATGAGATTCAAGCTCAGTTCATTAATTATTTGGTTTGAAAATGGGAAATGAGTTGATTGGTGCTAAATGATTCAATCAGATGCTTAGGATTGAAAATGATCCAATCAGGTTTGTAGGGTAGGGGACCTTGAAAGGTATATAAGATAGAGCAAGAGCCAGCCTGATTCATTCTGTGCCTAGCCTCTGAAGAAAAAATAATATCAAGCAGTCAACCTCCATGGGATTCAGTAGACCTTTGCTGACTTTTGAAAGTTTTCTAAATGCCCTCCAGATCTCCATAGATCTGCACCAAGACTAGGTGACTGCACCTGCCTCAGGCCCTGCCTCTGACATTGCCTGCAAGGAGCACCATCGGGGTTGGCCCAGTGTCTCAGAGCTTACCTCGACCTCTGGTTCTCTAGACCTGCCTCCTGATGCTGTTGTGTCTGTTGCTGTCTGGTCCAGCATCCCGCCCAGCCTCAGACTGCTGTTGTAGGCTGCTCCAGTGTCACCTCATCTACGAAAGGCCTTTTTGGGGCCTATCTGGGGACACTATCTGGGGTGTCTTTAGAAACGCTTTCCTTTTCCCCAATTTCCTGTTTATTAAATAAACCCCGTTACACTCTGAGCCAAGCAGTCATGCAATTGTGATGTTTGGGTAAGAATCCACTAATACATCTGTCCCCAACTTTGGCACTGTCTTTTTACCCTGTTTTGGCACGGTTTGAGCACTATTTTGCACTGTTTCAATTCCTAAAACCTGTGAGCAATTAAGTGAGAATCACTCTCTGAGCAGAATATTTAATGAACTGAATTCATAACAGAACAGTTGAATTCAGTTGAGTTCATAACATCCTTAGGATGAGGATACCTAAAATGTCTAAATAAGGTAATTTACCTTTAAAATCTCCAATCTCTCTGCCAGTTCCTGCCTTTAATGATATCACCATAGTTTAAGCGAGGTCATCTTCCACCTTCAGTCTCATTTGCAGTAGTCTCCTAGTCAGTTTCCCAACAGCCCCTTCTACCATTTCTCTACACATTAACTAAAGTGATTCAAACTGAAGTCTACAGCAGATTCCTTTCCTTGTTTACTTGAAATGCCTCAACTGAGTCTGAATAAATTTAGAATGTAAGACATTTTAAAGAATGTCTGATCCCTGTCTAGCCTACTTGCTGCAGGTCATGTGACTCTCCCCCTCCCTCTAAGCTCTGTTGCATTGGTTTGTTACAGGGCAACCCGGATATTGAAATGGGTTGCCTGTCTGTGGGTCCTCACCTGCGTGCTGAAAAGGGACTTATAATAAGACTCAGCTGCAGGCACACACAAAAAGGTTAATAAAGGGTTTATTTACAAAAGAAGGGGAAATGAAATGAGTAACTCAGGGAGAAAGAGAGGGAGATAAATTGGTGAATGTGTCCTGCCAGTTCTGCTGAGCTGGAGCCCCAATAGCATGCTGAGAGCTGGCAAAAAGCCAATAGAGCCCCCAAGGCGCACCTGTCTGGTTATATATGAAACTTGGCTTTTTAACTCCACCCTCAGTTCCCAGCAATCCTCCCTCTGGTGAGGATGACATTATGGGATTTGTAGTTCTTGGTGTCTTGGACCTCTTTTTGGTCTGGAGTGAGGGTGGAGTCCATAAAACCTGTGTTTGTGGAGTTTGTTCGGGGCATCCTTCCTCCCACAACATTCTCTCTTCTGTTCCAAAATGTTAAGTTGTTCTACTTCAGGATCTTTACTCTGCTGCCTGGAACAGTTATTGATGGCACAGCTGACTGACTTCCTTCTCACTCTTTAGTCTCAGCTTAAATGTGCTCTTACAGAGTTCTCATATAACAACCTTCCCTATCTAACTCCAACCTTCTGTTATTCTCTATAGCCACACCTTGTCTATTTGGCCCCCTTAACAAGATTTATTATTTTATTTGTTTACCTGTTTGTCTTCTCCCACTTCCGCCTCATATTGTATGCTTTATGAGGACAGTTATCATATTTATTGGTATTAGGACTGTATCCCCAGCACTTAGCACAGTGCCTCACAAAGGATCTTCCATAAAAATAGAAATACTCTCGAATGAATGACACATGGGATCACAAGACGCCTGTTCAGTAACAAAGAACGGCAGTGAAACCAGATTCTTTTCAAGTCTTTTGCCGAAAGTGTTGGCATTCCGTTCTTGGTTTCCTAGTTGTCACAACTACCGCCCTCTAGCTCCAAGTGACACCTCCCCGCCCCACCCGCTGGCTCCCCACCAAGTTTCCGAGCCCACTTACGGCCGAGGCACCCCCTCATTGGCCGGCGCCAAAGACCTTCGGCAGGGCGGGGATGTCCCCCGAGCCGCTAGTGGCCCAAGTCAACGTCACTCTGCAGAGAGCTGCGCAAAGTCAGCCAAGTCAATTGCAGTTGCGGGGAGGCTCGTTCCCATAGGAATCTGCGATTGGCTGAGAGGCCGCGAGCCGCACCGCCTTGCCAAGCGCGCATTGGTCGGAACTGCCGTCAGTCCCCGGGAACAGACTTTCTTTTCTCCATCTGGCTCACTGCTGGCCAAAATTCTCGAATATTTTCAGCAGACGAGCCAGCGGCCGTTCTGCCTGCTCCAGAGATCGGAAACATCAGTGAAGACAACCTTATTCACCGACATAGAAGGCCCTTCCCCAGCCCTCCGTTGGCTAATTTAAAACTTTTCCAGGGACATAACCACCAGGAGGTAAGCGCCTAGAAGATGCACTTCATTTATTTTTCTGTAAACTGTTAAGAATGTTATTTATAGGCAGCGTCGCATCCCACCGCCCCCGGGGCCGGCCAGGGAGAATAAGCGCAGGAGGGTACCCCAGGGAGAGAAAGGGAATGCTTGATTTTTCCAGCCTCCTCGGAGCCCCACCGTCAGTATCTGGGTTCCCTGTGCTCGGCTTTCTTCCCTTTCCTAGTCAGTGGCAAGGCCGGGCGGGGCCCACCTCGGCTGCGGAGCTGTCTCCGCGCATTTGCTGCCAAACCTCGGCGCCTGGCCTTGCACTTGCCCGCGCGCACTGGACGGCCGCCGGGCACAGGGAGGCGGGTCGGGGTCGGGAGGGCGAAGGAAGGGGCCTTGGACGCGAGGCTGGGGCTGCCAGTCCGCGTCCAGCCGTAGTCGGCCGCGTGGTTCTCTACCCCGAGCCCTGGACGCGAGGATGCTGTCGGGGTGTGGAGGGGGGGTGCCGCGCGCCACCCCAGCTGCGGCGGGGTGAAGGGAGATGAGGCGACACCCGGGATCTGAGCGCCGAGAGGGCTGTTGGAAGGCGGAGGCCGGCGGCGGAAGGTGCCGGGGGAGCCCAGCCAACTGCAGGGCTGCGCGCGGCGGCCGCGGGAGGGCAAAGCTTCCTGCCTTAGGTCGCTCCGGCCACTCGTCTGTCTCAGCTGCGAGGCGAGCCCAGGGTCCCTGGCTGTGCACGGGTGAGCTTTCTGGGGGATTCGAATAGAAAAGGATGCAGGGCTTTGGTTGGTAGGGATATGAGGACCTGACTTTTGCTTTGCTAGGAGAGTCTGAGATCTTAAGGCCTTGTGGTTGGTGATGTCTCTTTTTTTTTTTTAGCATCCGCTTTCTGTAGATTAGACATTTCACAGGAGGTGACAAAGACAGACTCCGGGTGGAAATAACCAAGAATATGGAATCTCTTAAGGCTCCATTGGCCTTTTTGAGCTTCAGATTGGAATTGTGCAGCAAGGCCTCTTAAATCCTTTGCACCCGCCGCCAATGCGGAGGAGAAAAGGAGGGTGTGTAGCAGTTTCAGAAGGAGCATCCAAACCGACGGATTATAATGGTCTAGAAAACCAGATACGGTGCAGTGGTATCCCAGCTATGCTGCCGCAGCTGGAAGAGAGCAGATAGCTTTTAATTCCTGAGAAGTGAGTCCTCGCTAATGATTTTTTTTAAGTGTCTTAGTCACTTTGTGTTTACCAACGACACAGCTACCTTTTTTGATTAGAATCTTAGAGATGATGAAAGAAGAGGGGAGAGGTGCTGGTGGTGTATTATAGAGGAAAGGAAAATTCTTAAATGAAAATTCTTGAATGAAGTCCACAGGCACAGGTTTGGAATATGGTCTGTGACTTGGATCCATATTAACTAAAATTTAAAAGATATCTATGGAATTAGAATAATAACTACTTTCCACTGCCCCCATTTTCTTTTCTCGATTGACAGGCTTAAACATATGTCCACATCAGACCGAAGGGGAGTCCTTTGGAGTTTTTGTTGTTTTTCCCCCAGATAATCTAGTATACTTTCTCTCCTACCCCCCCATTAGTTTATTGATAAAGAAGATAATAAAGTCCAAATTTCCTGAATTACATTCTACTTTTTAAAAAAGTCAGTGAAGGGCCTCCCCTGGTGGCGCAGCAGTTGAGCGCTGGGCTGCGAAGCTGCCCACAGCCTCTGCAGCGCCAGTTCGATCCCCGGCCACCGGTGAGGTCCCACATGGTGCTCAGACCTCTCCTGCCGCCCGCTGCTCCCCTCAGCAGTGTACTTCCTTAGTCAGTCTGCCTGTTCTGTTCCCCGCTCTGGTTCTGGTGAATTCTGTCACGCTCCCGCGCTTCTGACTGTACCCAGTGCTTGTATAAACAAACAAATAAATAAATATATCTTTAAAAAAATTAAAAAGTCAGTGAATACTTGGTTTAAAAATATTTAGATTGCCTTATGTTTCCATTGTGGAAGTTACTGATAGGAAGACACCTGCGTTCCACTTTCTAATTGGGAGATAAGGACACGTTTCTGAAAATATTTTTGCTGGAGGCATTAGCCCAAGCAGGTTTCAGTGGTACTGATCCTTACAACTACTGAATAATTTTGGCATGGGCTTAGAATGACAATAATAAACTGCCTTTCTGACCTGCTTTCAACAACCAAGAGCAAGTGTACCTTCCTGCCAGAGATAGTCTGTGCCTCCTTTTTCCAAAAATAAAGTTGGATAGCTCTGAGGTATTTAAACCATTGAGGGATTATAAAATGGGGCTAATATGAAAACATAAAATTGGCAGCACAATCTTTTAGTTGTGTATGTGGCTTTTTTTAATCCCTCCCTGCCTTTTATTTTTAAATCAAGTGTGATTTTCAAAAGTTTACTAAAAACCAATGCAGTTGTATTCCTTCCTGATGCTTTTACCTGAAACTTTCTACCCAGGATGTGGGTTTTCATTAGTGCTCTCTTGTAGAATTGCTATGCCAGCGTTGTGGTTTCCTCTTATTTCCAATTAACCCTCTTGCCAGGGGCCAAATTTTATCTCTAGTCAGAGTTTTATGTCAGGACTTTACAGCATTAGATTAATCAGCTTGATCATTGGGGAAGGAGAAAGATTTGTGGTTACACAATGCAAAACTGATGAAAAAGGAAAGTATTTTCAGGTGTTTATTTGATAATATGTAGAATATATGTGTCGATAATAATGTAGAATTGTATGTGTGTGCATGTACACACTTACATGTAAAAAAAAAGGTATGTGATTAAAGTCAATTTGTGTGCCATACAATTTTATTTTGAGTGGGAAATACAACAAATTTGGAAAACAGTCAAAGATTGTGTACTTTTTTCCTTCTGGTAAATATAGTGTAGGTTACTTATATAACTTGCTATGAAGCTTGGGTTCCAATCAAGTTATTTTTCTTGATTTTCTTTTTTTTTTTTTTAAAGATTTATTTATTTATTCATACAAGAGCTGGGGTACAGGCCAGAGATACAGGGGGTGAGAGGATTCACCAGACACAGAGTGGGGAACAGAACAGGCAGACTGACTGAAATACACTGCTGAGGGGAGTAGTGGGCAAGTCAGGAGAGGTCTGCTGCGCCATGTGGGTTGCTCCCTGGCCAGCCGGGGATCAAACTTGTGCTGCAAAGGCTGCGGATTGCTTCATAGTGCGGTGCTTAACCCCTTGTGCTACCAGGGAGGCCCTATATTTATTTTCTTACTTAGCATAGTTTTTGGGATTTAACTTTTACTAGTAGAATATGATGTGTGGCATAATTGTTCTTGTGCTCTGACAATTTTGTGTCTTCAAAGGGCTTTTCAAACAGAATTCTGCCCTTTGATTCTTTTGGATTGCTTTGACTTCCAAAGATTGGATATAATATTAAAATGGCTTGTATAAATAAGTTAGCTTTAATTTCCAGTTGAGAGGTTGACATAAAGGATTCTTGAATCACTTTTAAAGTTTGTAGGTAAACTCATACCAATTTATAATTGTTATATTGACAAATAATAAAAAAAATTCTCAGATGTTTGACAGCTGGTTTCTACTCTTTTTTTTTTTTTTTTTTTTTGAGGTTTGAGATCATGGAAACTCTTTATAGACTCTTGTTTGCTAATCATTTCCATGGGCATTTGGAGAGTTGGTGGACAATGATAGCTGATTCTTGTTTGAAGCATTGGTGGGATCTTTTCTTGATCTTGAGGTTTAGTTCAATGTTGTTATTCGGCTTTGGAAACACAGTTCCTCTTTGAGTTGTTTCCTGTGCCATATGAGGGGTTTAGCATGATGCGGTTATACTGTATGTAGAAAAGAAGAGCTGGAGCTGTTAATGTAAATGTATCAATCAATTGTTCATAAATTTGTTGACCAAGCATATCAATAAATTGCTTGTCTCAAGTCCATTGCCACTGAGTTCCTGAGATCAAACGCATCACAACTGGCTTATCCTTGTGCCTGTGAGGTGCTTGCATGAACCAGTTAGCATTAACCATGTGGAATATGTAAAGTTTAGTAAATTGAGAAATCTTACAACAAAACTCTGATCCCAGATTGTGTCTGTATTAAAATCTGGCCACTCTTTGGGTACAGAACCATCATATTTTTTTAGCTAGTTGTTTTTTTTCTTTTTTCTATCTTTCATGAGAGATTCTGTTATCATTAATACTTGCCCCTCCCTTTTCTTCAGAACAATGAAGTTAGTTGTATTCTATGTTCTTGCTACTCCAACTGTGGACTTGCTGGACCAGCAGTTCGCATCATCGGGAGCTGGTTAAAAATGCAAGCTCTCAGGCCCCACCGCAGATTGAATCAGAATTTCCATTTTAGCAAGATCCCCAGTGATTAATTTGAGACGCCATTGTTCTATATGATCTGTGCACGTTGTCAAATTTTTATAGAATTTAAGCACTGTGAATTGGATAGGTAATTGGATTCTTTTTTTTAATTTACTGTTCTTAAGGCCTTTTTGGTTAATATCTGTTGATGTATATTCATGATATTCAAATTGCTGATAACTCTCTCTCTTTCTCTCTATTCAGTTGCATCACTTTTGTTGAAGACATTCCATTGTTGTTCCATTGACCTTTCCCTCTACTGAGTCCTTTGGATTTGAGTTATGTCAACAGCTGCCTTAATTACTTTGGTTAGAAGTGGTGGGAACCAGGTGAGGAGGAGAGTGTTGCTTAACTCCCGCCTGCTGCAGGACGACAGGCGAGTGATCCCTATATGCTACAGCTCCACTTCAGAGCCCAGATGTTCTCGGTTTGACCCAGATGGTAGTGGGCGTCCAGCTACCTGGGATAAATTTGGGATTTGGGACAACCGCATCGATGAGCCAATTCTACTGCCTCCCAGCATTAAATATGGCAAGCCAATTCCCAAAATCAGCTTGGAAAATGTGGGCTCTGCCTCACAGATTGGCAAACGGAAAGAGAATGAAGACCGGTTTGACTTTTCTCAGCTAACAGATGAGGTCCTGTACTTTGCAGTGTATGATGGACATGGTGGACCTGCAGCTGCTGATTTCTGTCATACCCACATGGAGAAATGCATCATGTATGTACAATGACATTCACTCTGACTCTGCAGCTTGCCTTGTGCTTCATGTTTAAACTTTGGCCTTTTGACTGATATGTTTATTGCTAATGTAGTTATTTAAGTGGTTTCATGCCGTTTCATGAAGGAGTAGTGACTTATTTATTATCGATGATTACCATTTCAGAAACACATGTTTTAACAGCTCCCCTGGCAAGAGTATTGACCAGTGTCTACAGTACTTGATTGTGGTCATTTCAAGGGAATATGAAGGACATGATCTCATCTACTATGAGATTAATGAAAAACTTTATTCCAGGGGGAAGGTGGGGAAATTTCTTCTTATTCCCCTGGGTTTTGCTTGGACTGCTTGAACAATCAAATTAACAACAAACAGGTCAATAGGAGAAAAATCCAAATTTAATTAGTCATGCATCCCTTAACAGGGGAAATATTCTGAGAAAGTGTGTCCTTGTGCAGACCTCGTAGAGTATCATTACGTGATCCAGATGACGTAGTCTACCACTCAGGCTCTGCGATATTGGGACAACCATCCTACATATGGTTCATTTGTTGACTGAAAGTCAGTAAGTGACTACGTGATCTAACATAGACATACACATAGAGATGAGGCAAAAAATGCAATTATATATGAGATAGGAACCTGGGGGTTCAAGGAGAGAACGATGAGGATGATTGCGTGATGAGGAGAGGGTGATAGAGAACAGATGCTCTATAATGAATTACGTGTGCCCAGACACTTAGATTATTTAGACAGAGTGGTTGTTTCTGGTAATAACCTTAATTAATTCTAGGTAAGACCCCCAATTTTCATTCATTTTTTTTTCTTTCTGGTACTTGAAATAATCCCACTGTGACACTGGCAATCTAGGGGGGGGGCTGCCCTCATTCCTCAGTGCATGGCATATAGTGCTCTAACAAATGGTAATTCATTCAAGTGGTGTGTGTAGTTTTGAATACTTGCTGAAAATAGCTTTAGATCATTGACATAAATATGGGAAAAATATTGAGTGTGGGTTTTTAGTGCTCTTTAAAGAAATCTAGTGTTTATTGCAATTATTGATGTGTTTTGAGAATCACAATACTGCTAGTGGTAAAAAAATAGAGGGAGAACAGGAGCAGAGTATGGGACTACTTTTCTTCCTGTGTATAGTTATTCATTCTGGTTATCATTGAGTTATGCATGGTTTTCCCATATTCCACAAAGGAAATCAGTGGCTTGATTTAGTATGAAGGAACTCGACCTCTCACGTTGTGGTAGTGAGGATTCATCTTTAAAGATGGGGTCCCTGGAGTTGTGCTTAAGGGCTTATCTCTGGACCTGATTCCAGTTTGACTCCCTGATCTGTGGATTTTGAGCATCTTGAACATCAGACTAGGGGGGTCCATTGTATGGAAGTGACTGCTAGCTAGAGTGACCTAGAGGAGACTTGAAACTAATAGTAAAATGATTTCGGGGAACTCTTTTTTTTTTTTCCCCACGAAGGGACTTGCTTCCTAAGGAGAAGAACTTGGAAACTGTGTTGACCTTGGCTTTTCTAGAAATAGATAAAGCCTTTTCCAGGCATGCCAACCTCTCTGCTGATGGTAAGTAAAACAATCACAGTCCTTGGAGTCTTGGGAAATGTTGGAGAATGGAAACAATTTAAGCCCTTCAGGGGTGGGAATTGTAATGGAAGTTTATTTGCAAGGATGCTTATGTCGAAATGATTTTATGTAAAGAATCACTTTAAATGCTGTTTTTGGAATTCAAACTAATGTTAGTACCTCACTTTTAAGTGAAATATCAGAACTCAAAGCCACCAAATGGTCCTGATATTGAACTTCAATTTTAAAAAGATTTAAAAACTTTTTTTAAGTTTGTTTGATTGCTCATTTTATGGACAAGATGGCTGTACTATGAGAGGGTTTATTGCTTTTGTTTTTGTTTTTTTTAGATGAGTCTGATGAACAAGTACTGAAATACACTACAGGGTAATTGTATCTAGCCAGGGTGGTAATTGTACAGACTAGAAGAAATTACTAATTGGTCCTAGATAGGAAAGGACAATGGTTAATATTTGATAATTAGAAGGAAGATATTTTTTCCCTACTTCTGAAAAAAAGCTGATCTTGTAATTTTCCTGTAGTAACTAGTAATATTTTTGTTTTTATGTGTTAAATAGAAGCGAATAATAGCTTAATTTACAAATTAAAATTAATGTACTGTGTATCCTTAAATTTTGAAAGCAAAATGTTTCTGATTTTGATTATATTTATCAAAACCATTTTAGGAAAATATAGTGTATATTTTGTAGTTAGCTGGTTCTAAAATCTCTTACTCAAAATTTTGAGTTAATCTTAAAAACTTCTGCTGTGGCCATATAAATGTGCTTATAGACCTAGTAACTGATTTGGAATTGAATCATGCTCTAATATTGATCTGTGCTATAATATTCATCCTTTTGTTTGAAGGAGGTCAGAGTGCATCACAGATAAGGAACTGAAACTCAAAGAGAGGTAAAGGTCGGTTGCAGAATTAGTGTTGGGGTTTTCCTGGCACCCATCTTAGCCTCTCTCCTGGGCATATTTAATAATTAATGATGAGGATTAGAGAAGATGATTCTTAGGATAGCTCCATTTGCCATTTTAAGAGTTTTTTTCTTGCTCTTTTTTGAAAACCTTGCATCATATACCTGAGAAAATCACTAGAGCTCACTCACAGCAGGGATTCATTTTCTCATTTGTAGATCATTTAGGCCCATGTTCTCTTTTCCTTCATTCCTTTGCACTTTTCCCCATCCAGCTGTCTTCCTACTTATGAAAAAAGGTAAATTTTTGTGAGAGGTAAATTTTAAAAATAGTTCTATGACTAATGGGTAAGACAAATGAAGGGCAGAGGACAATAAAAGACACACTTTATTATAGTTGTATCTTTTTAACTCCAACATTGGTATGTTCTTTTTCATCCATAAGGAGGTCACTATTGGTGCTTAATGGTGTAAACAGGTGGGTGTGCCTAGTTCGGTAAACAGAGCTTATTTGGCAAGGTTTTCAGAAAAGAGCATGCAAAGGTATTAAAATGTGGTCAATAATCAATCATTCATCCTGTGTGGGTGCAGTCAGCCCTTTTGTAAAGGATTATAATAACTAACATGCTTAAAACAATGAAAGATTAAGTGTAAAACAGAGAACCCCTTCCATTTATTACAAAATAAGTTTTAATTAAAAAGAATTTTGAACTCAGGGGGAGAATTTATATAACTTGTATACCTTAAAAGATACTCTCTAAAGATGTCTTATGCAAAATCAATCATAAAAATGTAAATCTTTTCTAATGATGAAATTAAGATGTGTTCAATTTCATTCCTCTGTCATGTTCTTTGAGGTAATGATCCCAGAACGTTTGTAAAATAATCTAAGATTTATTTTTCATTAAATGGCCATTTGTTGTGAGTGTAATGTTGCAAGAAAATTATGCTTAGTGTGCTACTAAAAGAAAAAAGTGTCTATCACCTTGTTTTTAAGTTTTACTTTATATGTACTCTTAAATATTTTTGAGGACAATTTAAAAATTTATTCTTAATAAGTTATCAAGACTTACAAAAATGACAAAAATTGTCTCTTGCTATTTGGGGCCTATTTTTATCAAGTCTATTAAAATCACTAAGAATGGAATGTTGTGTGTTTTTAACTTTTAGATTTATAGGTTAAAAAATTCATAACATTTCAGATTTCAAAGTTATTAAATTTTTTTGGGGTAGTTTTTGGTAAGAACTGAAGCAGTATCAGTATTATAAGATTAGATAATATTCTCTTCGGCTTAGGGCTAAGTAGGATGGATCAGTGTTTCTTAATAAATTATGAAAGTAAGTGCAGTTTGCCCTCTCCAGTTTCTTTGAGCTTCACATTTAGCATCAGCCTTTTTTTTTCTTGAATCCTTCCTGTGGGCAGCTTGTGGGCAGGGAACAGGCCTTACTCAGTTTGAATCTCCATTGATCAGCACACTGCATAGACCTGGGAGACATTCAGTTATTTGTGCTGAATTGATCTCCACTGCTTGCTTTTTCTCCTCAAAGTCATTATAATTTATTCTTTGATTATCCTAGAGCAGATTTGACCAATTATTGACATTATGTACATATTTTAATGAATTATCACTTCCGGGTGGATTTGAATTTGAAGTAGGGAATATCAAAAGTGGTTAAAATATAAGGATGAATCGCTAATGATAGAATTTCATGTTCAGATGGGAGGAATGTCTCTCAGTCATACTCGAGTAGCTTTAGAGAAAGTGAAAATAAAACATTCTTATCTTTTCACCAGTTCAGATCATATCTACATAATTACAAAATCATCCCATTAGCATTTAAAATGTTCACTATTTCAGTGTAAACTAATGTTGAGGAGAATAAAATCAAAATATCATCAAGAAATGGCAAGAATCTTGCCTTAAGAAATTGCTGTTTCTTTCTATTGATTTGTTGGTAATGCATTTTGAATTTACCCTTATTTATGAATAATTTCATCATCTTTTGAATTTTTTTTGAAATTCAGTTTATCACTTAAATGAATCCAGCTTGTAAATTCAAATGATTTTTCCATTAGTCTGTTTATTAACAAATTTCCGCTTAAACTAAGAGAGTCAAAAACTTAAATTATATCCTATATAGCTTATAAACACTTCAAAGTGTTTCTAGATTGCTTAAGGTGTGAAAGCAGCAAAGTTTCTCAAGAGAAAAAAAAAGGTCAACAAGAGAAAACTTGCTTTGACATTGTGAGTTGGAAATAGGACAGGATTGTGAGTCTCCAGGAACTCCACATGCTGTGTGATCTCTTTAGGGAAGAATTAAATACTAAATAACCAATGCAACTGAGTATCCTTATGCTACTGGCAGCCTAAAAAAAAAAAAAAAAATAGGGATGCTTTGAAGAGATATTCTTATTGTGCTGTTACTGTTTCAGCTCATTACTTTGATTTTGGTGCTCATGTCCTGAGCACTCATATTTAATGAATATTGCAACTATATTGGCTTACGCATATTGTCTATACCAGTTGAATAAGTGACCAGGGGGTGTTATGTTTTGACAAGTATAGCTTTTACTTTTTATGTTGCCATTCAAAATCTTGATCATTTTTCTTTTGATATGTGGACCTGCAACACTGGGGGAAAGAGAGAGCTGCAGAAACATCATTTTATGAATTATATGCAATTATTAACATGTATTAGAACTCAAGAGCCTAGCTTTTATTTATAGACAATTAAGTAATCATTATATTCCAAAATGCCTTCTAGATACTAAATTCCTGCATTAAGCACTGTTAACAAATATATTACTTTATATATCTGGTGCTATAAGAGGTGCTTTCTATTCCTTATTGGCATATATTTAAATCCCAATAATTGGTGGTATAGTGTAGTTCCCATCTTCTCTCACAACATACTGCTTGTCAGATACAAATTAGTGTTATACCCATGAATTTTCCTTTTTGTTATTGGAATAATTCTGACATTGTTACCAAACAAATTTACAGTGCTTTTTTTTTCAACTCACTAAAAGTGCTGTTTTACTCTTCAAGATGGTTTGAGTGTATGTGAGTGCATATGTGAATGAGTATGTAGATGTTTCTGTAACCATGTGTCTTTTGGTACAGATGCATCTGGGAAGCCACCAAAATAAGAAAGAAGTATTAATTACTCTGTGAAAAAATATTCAACTACAAAATACCATCAACTTGGGTAACTGAGTTTTGGAATCGTTGATTTGGCATCTCCTGAAATATTATGTAATTTGCTAGTGACATTTTCATCAAAATAAAAACCCTTCCCCTTATTTTGCAGCTCTTTCTCTGCCCTCCCCTGTGTTGCAGGTTTGTAATGTTTGAGCACAATTCTTGGGTGAATTTCCTATTTGCCTCTGTGCGTGTTATTTGTGGCAGAGACTGTGCCTGGTCAGCAGCTCTAGACCTGGAGCCCGTGGACACTATATGCTGGGCTTCAGTGGAAAGAGAGATCTGCTTAATTTTGTCTCAGGTGAAGGAGTCCAGCGGTTCCTAGCCTGGACTACTGGAAGGTTCCCACATCCTCTTTGTCCCATTAGTTGAGATGACTTGCAGTAGAAAATGTCCAGTGAGTGTTAAGAACTTATTGAAAGATGTCTTAGTTGTATAGTTTGTTGTTAGGGCAAAAAAAAAAAAAAGAATTTTTATTTCTATGTTAAATGTTAAATGAAAATAAATGCTGAATTAAGATTTACATTCTTAGTTGCTTAACAAAACAGAATGAATAGTTAGTTTTGAGAGCTTTCCCATAAATCCTGGGATTTTGGAACTGTGAAGTTGGATTGGTGGCAGAGCAATGAATAAGAATCCTAATTTTGAAATTTCTCATGCATGACATTTTGACTCTTGATTTAGCCAATTAATAGCCACCTTAAAAAAGCCACGGCTGATCATTTAATCAGAAGAAAAAAAATAGTAAATTCCTTGGATGGGCAGCATCTGAGTAAATGCTTGTATTCTCTTACCTGGCTCTTCAAATCATTTGAAAATATTATAGTGGTTAGGTTGTAAAGACTCTTATGGTGTTTTGAGACACTCGAAAATTAACATTTGCAATATAAACTTTACAGATATGCTAAAAATATATGTCGTACAGTGATGAATATGTGTTATATTTTCACACTACAGAGATATTATTACTTTGGCACAACAGTTCCAAAATCAAGAGATAAGTGGGAAGATAGTGTCAGTATAAATGCTCTTTCTCAAAGTAAATTCAGCATGGATATAAAAGATTAAATAAGGCTTATTCATGTTTTTCCATTTTACTTTTCTGATTAAAGCAGGCATTTTAATGTATAGATTGTAGTAGTATATAGATATAGATTATCTATATCAATAGGTAGATAGATACATCTTTACAAAATGGAATACTGATGAGGTATTATGTAATTTTTAAATTGTCTGTTTTGGAAAAAATTGAACCTCAATCAGTCAAATCAATGGCACTTCATTTTCCCTAAATCTGTCTTTCAAGTCAAATCATCTTTAGAGGACGACTTGAATGTTTTATTTAGATGCTTTAAAAAATTAACCATGCTACTGAAGATAATACCTGCTTTAAATAAGTTCTCCTTTTCAATTTCTTCCGATTTGCTTTACTTTTTATAGCCCATAATTTCACAGTATTTTCTCTTTTGACAAGGCTCAATGCACCTTCAAAGTTTTTAACTTAGGGCAGACAATTCAGTTCGGGTTGGATGAAAGAAATAGTAGTACCCTCAAGCCAAGTAGCTGATTATATTTGTTACCCGTCAGAGAAAATTAATATTCTTGGGGTGCTCTGGGCCTAGGGCATGGTCACAGGAGTGGCACTTAGCAGTGCAGTCCTGCCTTTGGATCCGGACTGATTGTTTGGATCTTTCTAGAGCTGGGGAGTGTTAATGATACCACGCTTGTGGGAAACTATAATGAATTTCATTATCTCTACTGCCCAGTTTTCTGCTAAGGGTGGCTGTAACTTTGTTTCTTGTCTGGGGAGGACAAAGATAAACAGAAAAGAATGTGGACCTCTAACCATTTTAGAATATTTTTGTGTGTGAGCATTCGTAAAAGTAAGACAGTTGTAGAAGCAAAGACTATGAAGTAAGCACTTAACTCTTATTTAGCCTATCATTTAATAATACTTTCACAGCTTAGCAGTAAGAAATGTACAAGAAAATAGTAAGTGCTTACATGATAAAGAGTCAGCATGTCTGAGTAAACATAATAGATCTAATTCATCCTGTTATATTAGCCAATCTAATGAAAATTTAATAATTTTAATCCTGACACCTAAGGTAGTTATAATAAATTTAAGACAGCTCTACCTTATTTTTAAAATTGGGAGCCATTTGGGAACAGCAATGCTTCTTTTTTCTTTCTTTTCTTTTCTTTTTTTTTTTTTTACCAAATTAGGTCAGCAACTTTTTGTTTGCATGGAGCCTTGTTACTGAACTACATACTTCCTTCTCTGCATGCTCTTACTTACAAACTTCATTTGCATTTTATTTGCATAATGCTAGTTAAATTAGAATAATACATGTCAGCATTAATTAGAATAATTACATTTAGTTTAACATGCCTGTGTAATAAAAATTCCATACCCAATCATTTGACAATCACTGACTTATACTCTTTCATAATGTTTGCAGCAACTCTTCTGACCTCTGGGACTACTGCAACAGTAGCCCTGTTGCGAGATAGTATTGAACTGGTTGTTGCCAGTGTTGGGGACAGCCGGGCAATTTTGTGCCGGAAAGGAAAAGCCGTGAAGCTGACCATTGACCATACTCCGGAAAGAAAAGATGAAAAAGAAAGGTACTGCCTCCACTGATGAATGATGCTTATAGAACACTAGAAGTGTTTTATAAAATGCTTTATAAGATGCTTAAAAAACACACAGAAGTGAAGCATTGCATTTTTAAACAGATTTTATACTTAAGTTTAACTATGCTTTGGTCGTTCTGGGTATCACATCATAGTCTTGTAACTTTTTCTTGCCTAGAATAAAGAAATGTGGTGGTTTTGTAGCTTGGAATAGTTTGGGACAGCCTCACGTAAATGGCAGACTTGCAATGACAAGAAGTCTTGGAGATTTGGATCTTAAAGCCAGTGGTGTGATTGCAGAACCTGAAACAAAGAGGATTAAGGTACGAAGGACTTGCAAACACTTGGTACTCACGTGAAGAAAGAATGCAGGATTGTGACTAGCTATAGGCATTTACTAAAAGCCTTGACTTTTGCCAAAATGGCTTTTAAAAGGGAGTAATTTTTAGAAAACTAGATAAATTTCATGTAAAATAAGGACTTCCTAGCTGAATGTATGATGATGTGCTTGGTTTTCATTCTACTCTGCTATGGAATTCTCCTAATAGAATGGCCTTTTCTCACTTGCACCTGATCATCAGTGTCACCACCACTTGAAGCTGACCTTGACTTTCCTTATCCACCAAACTAATCATTCCACCTATTTCTGTGACGTCCTTTGCATGCTGTTAACTAGTGCCTGTTTACCTTACACTTCCCCCGATACACACTGGCATTCCCTTTCTTCAATGCCTGATCTTACTCCAATACCAAGTATGGTATAGGCTCTCAGTAATGGCTGCAGACATTTGTTAATTAATCGATTTCATGTTTTTTAGATGTTCTACTTAAATTCATCTTACTTAGCAAATATATATGGTTCACTGTGTTCCAGGCTCTGTTTAAAGTTTGTACCACTATTCTTATTTTTTTTTGGAAGATTTTTATTTATTTGTTCATGCATACAAGAGCTGGGGTACAGACCAGAGGTGCAGGGGGTGAGAGGATTCGTCAGAGACAGAGTGGGGAGCAGAACAGGTGGATTGACTGAAATACACTGCTGAGGGGAACAGCGGGTGAGACAGGAGAGGTCTGCTGCGCCATGTGGGTTACTCACTGGGCATGGCTTGAACTTGTGCTGCAGTGGCTGCGGATAGCTTCAGAGTGCTGAGACTTAACCCCTTGTGCCACAAGGGAGGCCCCACTATTCTTCTTTTACAGAGAAAACAAACCTAAAGCATGTAGAGATCAGCTGCAAAATACTTGCTCAGCTATAAAATAAAGGCAGAATCCATATCCTGGAAGCCCCTATGGAGACAGCACTCGCAGCTGTGACAGGAGAGGTGCCGATTCCTGCCCTCTGGCTTTTCATTTGTGGTGTTACTTAGTGCATGTTAGGTCTGTCCTCAGTGGTTGATATGAAAACCTATTTTTGTTTTCAATTTTCTATTCTTTTTCTTTTTCTTTTTTTATATTTAAAAGAGCAGGTTCATTAGGGAAAGGGACAGAAGGGCAAAAGACACTTGCATACACTGTACCAAAATGAAAAATGATGTAAAAATATATAGTTAAAAAATTAAAATAATTTCAAAGAGAAAAAAATAATAAACTCAAAAACACAATAAAATTACTCAAATTACAGGGCCTCCCCGGTGGCGCAGCAGTTGAGTGTTGGGCTGCGAAGCTGCCCACAGCCTCTGCAGTGCTGGTTCGATCCCCGGTCACCGCGAGGGTCCCACATGGTGCTCAGACCTCTCCTGCCACCCGCTGCTCCCCTCAGCAGTGTGCTTTCTCATTCTGCCTATTCTGCTCTATGCTCTGGCTCTGGTGAATTCTCTCACCCTCCTGTGCACTTCTGACTGTACCCAGTGCTTGTATAAATAAATAAACAAATAAATCTTTAAAAAAAATACTCAAATTACATTAAAAAAAAAAGACACTTGCTTAGACACAAGCAGGCAGGAAGAGCTGCCCTGAAAGGGACAGGTTTGCTGAGAGCATCTTTTTCTTTTCTGTTTGTTTTTTGTTAGGAAAATGATATAAAATCTTGAAATTGTTTTAATATCCAGGGTACCTGTCAGAGTATACAATTCTGTGTCAGGTATTCCTATCATTGTCTCCTATTGCTATTCTCTTTGCTTAATTTCCCCCCCCCCTTTTTTTCCCCATTACTATTCTTGGATTACCATTACTATTCTTATGTATTTGGAATCCTCTCCCAAATGTTTTTATATCTTAATATATAACTGTATATAAAGCCTAATTTATTTATTTTTAAGACCTATTTTGTTTTTTTGTTTTTTTTTAATAAATTTTATTTTTAAATTCCCCATACAATTGTGACCCCCTTATTTTGACCCCAATCCCTCCCCTCTCCACCCCCCAACCCCCATAGAGTGTCTCTGGTTCATAGTTGCTTGCTGATTTTGATTTTTGCTTTCTTATAGTTATTCTTTTTCCTGGTCACTTATTTAAGTTTTCTAGATTCCTGCTATGAGTGAGACCATCCGGTATTTTTCTTTTTCTTTCTGGCTTATTTCGCTGAGCATGATCCCTTCCAGCGCCATCCATGTTGCTGCAAATTGCATGTGTTTATCTTTTTTTGAATGCTGAGTAATATTCCATGGTGTATATGTACCACATCTTCTTGATCCAGTCATCTATTTTTGGGCATTTGGGTTGTTTCCAAAGCTTAGCTATTGTAAACAGTGCTGCTATAAACATAGGGGTGCAGGTGCTCTTTGGAATTGATGTTTCTGTGTCCTTTGGGTAAATACCTAGGAGTGGAATTGCTGGATCATATGGAAGCTCTATGTTTAGTAGGTCCAGAAATCTCCACACAGCTCTCCACAGTGGTTGGACCAGTTTGCACTCCCACCAACAGTGCAGGAGAGTTCCTTTTTCTCCACACCCTCACCAACATTTGTTGTTGCTAGTTTTTTAAATATGTGCCATTCTCACTGGTGTAAGATGGTATCTCATTGTAGTTCTGATTTGCATTTCCCTGATTATAAGTGATGTTGAACGTTTTTTCATATGCCTGTTGGCCATTTGCATTTCCTCTTCAGAGAAGTTTCTTTTTAGCTATTCTGCCCATTTTTTGACTGGATTATTTTTTCTTTGTTGTTGTTGAGTTTCATCAGCTCTTTGCAGATTTTTGTGATCAGTCCTTTATCATTAGTGTTGGGTGCAAAAATGTTCTCCCAGTTGGTGGGGTTTCTCTTTGTTTTTGTTATTGTCTCTTTTGCTGTGCAGAAGCTCTTTAATTTGATGTAGTCCCAGCTGTTGATCTTTGCCTTCACTATCACTGCTTTGGGTGATGTGTCTGTAAAGATGTCTTTGATGTGCATATCATGGAGTGTTTCACCTATTAAGACCTATTTTGAAAAAAAAAAAAGACCTATTTTGAGAAGAACAGATCCTCCTTAACAAATTTTTTCAAGAATGCCTTCCCCCTCCTCCCCATCTGTCCCCTTGTCTCTTTCCCTCCCCACTCCTACTTGACTCAGAGCCCTCAGGATGTTTGATGCCCAGTAGTTTTTAAAAGTGTTTTAAAAGTGTTGAACTGTTGTGTGAATGTCCAATATTTGTTTTTATTGTTCCAGCTTGTTTTGCTGCACATAATTTCCCAAATTCCCTCCATTTTGTTGAAAAGGTTGTGTGCACCCTTTACTGTGGCTATGTAATATTCCATGATATATAAATGTACCACATTTTGGTCCTTTTTTTTTTTTAAGTGTCTTTTCTAGCTCTTATGCCCTTTTTTTTTTAAGATTTATTTATTCATTCATACAAAAGCTGGGGTACAGGCCAGAGGTGTGGGGGCTGAGAGGATCCACCAGAGATGAAGTGGGGGACAGAATAGGCAGATCCACTGAAATACACTGCTGAAGGGAGCAACGGGCGAGTCAGGAGAGGTCTGCTGTACCATGTGGGTTGCTCCCTGGCTGGCCAGGGGATCGAACTCATGCTGCAGTGGCTGTGGACAGCCCCATAGGTTGGGTCTTAACCCCTTGTGCCACCAGGAAGGCCCGCATCATTTTGGTCTTTTGAAGGAGATTTAGTCTGCTTCCATGTCCTAGTCATTATAAATAATGCTACTGTGAATATTATGGAACAAGTGATTATTTTATTGATGGCTTTGTATTCTGTGGATATATGTCCAGATGGCATACAGTATTTCTACTTTTAATTTTTAAGGTAAATCCAGATTGCTTTCCATAATGGTTCCACCAGTTCACATTTCCATCTGCAGTGTAATAAGGCTGCTTTTCATTGACATCTTCTCCAGCATTTGTTGAGGATTTTTTTCATATGCGCTATTCTCATGTTTATGCGGTGGTATCTTATTTTAGTTTTAATCTGCGTGTCTCTCATTAGAAGTGACAATGAACATTTTTTTCTATTTGTCTTCTGGCTTTCTGAATATCTTCTTATGTGAATTATCTGTTCATATCTGCTGCCTATTTGTTAATTTTTGGTTTTGGTTCAATCGTATGAGTTTTTTAATATATCTTGGATGTTAATCCCTTGTCAGTTATATATTATGTGAATATTTTTTCCCCTTCAGTAGGGTATTTATTTAATCATCTTTATTTACTTTGGCTGTGTAGAAGCTTTTTAACTTGAGGTAATCCCTGTTGTTTATTTTTGTCTTTAATTCTCTTGACATAGGGATTGAGTCACCCAAAATATCTTTATTGTTAATTTTGCCAAATGTATTGCCAATTCTTTCTTCTGTATATTTTATTGTTGTAGGTATTATAGCTGAATTTTTTATTTATTTTTGTGTCTGGTGTTAATAAGTAAGCCAGCCTCATTCTTTTACATGTGGCTTTCCAATTTTCCCAGCCCCATTTATTTTTAATTTTTTAAATTTTTTAAAGATTTATTTATTTATACAAGAATTGGGGTACAGGCCAGATGCATGGGAAGGTGAGAGAATTCACCAGAAACAGAACATGGAACAGAACAGGCAGATATACTGAAATACACTGCTGAGGGGGGAGCAGTGGGCAAGACAGGAGGGGTCTGCTTCGCCCTGTGGGATTCTCCCTGGCAGGCCGGGATCGAAACCGCGATGCAGAAGCTGTGGACAGATTCACAGTGCGGCGCTCAATCACCTGCGCCATCAGGGAGGCCAGCAGCCCCATTTATTAAAGAGGTTGCCTTTTCTCCATTTTATGATTATGGATGTTTTATTATAGATTCAGTGTTGGTATATGTGTGGATTTATTACTGAAATTTTTATTCTGTTCCATTGTTTCATACACCTGTTTTTGTGCCAGTCCCATGATGCTTTTGATACTATTGCTTTGCATTAAAGTTTGAAGTTAGATAAAGTGATACCTCCATTTCTCTGCTTTTGTTTTGGGGTTGCTTTTGCAATTTAAGGCCTCTTGTGGTTCCATTTGAATTTGAATATTTTTTCTTCTGTTTCTTTGAAAATATTGGTGGAATTTTAATGAAGGTTGCGTTAAATTTGTATATAATTTTAGGCAAGAATTTAATTACTTTGATTCTCTCCATGAATAAGCATGGGGTATCCTTCCACCTCCTTATGTTGCTCTCCAGGTCCTTATTTATCTTGTAATTCTCCTTGTATAAGTCTTTTACCTCTTCTTAGGTTGGTTCTGAGATATATATAATCTTTTTCATCAATTATAAATAGTTATTTTCTTAATTTCTCTTAGTTTTTATTCATTATTTGTGTATAAAAAAGCTATGGGTTTTGTTTGTTTTGTAGCCTGCCACTTTGCTGTATTCATTTATGTTTCCAGTGACTTTTTGTTGGAATCTTTAGGCTCTCCTATATATAATATCATATTGCCTGTAAATAGTGATAGTTTCACTTCTTTTTTTTACTATTTGTATTTCCTTTTATTTTCTCTATTTGCCTGATAACTCTGACCAAAACCTCTAATACTAAGTTAAATAGAAGTGGTAAAAGTAGAATTCCTTGTCTTGTGCTAGAGAAAACTGTAGTGGAGAAAGTATTCAATTATTCACCATTGAGTATTTTATTGACTGTTGGTTTGTGATATATGACCTTTATTATGTTGAGGTAGGTTACTTCTATTCCCATCTTTTTACAGTTCTTATCATAAATGGGTGTGAATATTATCAAATGCTTTCTCTGCATCTAATATTTTCATGACTTTCATCTTTTGTTGATGTGGTGTATTACATTGATTGATTCATCTATATTTAGTCATCCTTGTATCCTTGACATGACTCCCACTTGATCATGGCATGTGATCCTTGTGATATACTTTGAATTTGATTTACTGCATTCAATTTTCACTTTGGTTGCTTACAACCTCTGAGATACAGATGATCACTCAACAAACAGATAAAAGCTTTGGATTATGATCTGTTGTAAAGCTTAGTCTGGTTTCTAATCCTACACCCTTGGTTCTGGTTGCAGCTACATCATGCTGATGACAGCTTCCTGGTCCTCACAACAGATGGAATTAACTTCATGGTGAATAGTCAAGAGATTTGTGACTTTGTCAATCAATGTCATGATCCCAATGAAGCAGCTCATGCAGTAACTGAACAGGTGACACAGTAGAGCTTCTGCTAGAAGGGTTGGGAGCGAGGGAGGGGGCTGCGTGAGACAAACTCAGGTGCAGGTTCTGGTGCAAGTGCCACCCCAGGCTTGAGATTTCTTTGAAATCTTGTGTTTTTGCTTCAGTATTACAGTGAATTTTATACTTGACTCCATTATATTTCCAATTAAAAAAAATTTTTTTTACAATTTCCCCAAGGAGATGAGTAAAATTAATAGGCCAAGGAAATATACTGTTATTTTTTTGGCTTTGTGCACATACTAAAATGATAGTAATAGTAAATTATAGTAATAACAAATACTAATATCACTTACTATGTGTCAGATACTCTCCTGTTCACTTATATTAACTCATGTAATCAACACAGCAAACCTCTGGAGTTGGAGCTATTATTATCGTCTCTTTCTCACAGATGAAGAAACTGAGGCACAGAGGTTGAGATGTTAGGTAACTTATTCAAAATCTGTCAGAATTATAAAATAATATATTAAATTTCTGAACTTAGCTTCAAGCCAGTAGTCAAGTATCCAAGTCTAACCACTTCACCATCAAGCAAGGCTACTCCAAGTAAATATCCAGCATAGGACCACTGTAGCATGGCCATCTTCTGGTTTTAAAAATATGGGTGTGTGAAAAAAAGCAAATACAAAAAAGGTGTGTGATGGGTTGTGTCAGTTAGAGGTAAAATTTAGAAGCTGCATAGTATTTTTCAGATAAATTGTAAAATGTCCAATTATTCAATATTCCGTTTGGATAGAAAGCTTTTTTAAGTTTTAGACATCACTGATTACTAGAAACACATTAATTCAACAGATGTTTTGGAATTTTTGTATTTTCAATTGGAGAGTTAAATTTGGTTTAATCTTTTAAGTGCTAATATTTGAAATTAATACATATGATCTTACTTGGAACACATTATTTGCTTGACAGTTGATAGGTAAACATAAATCATTCACTTGGCTGATAAGTGTGCTCATGAGATTAAGGAAATGTGCCCAATTCTATGAATAATTTCCTTATTTCCACTACCTGTCTTGAGATTTGTGTGTTCTAACTCATGAGGACAATGATATTTTTAATGAATGTGTAGTATTCCACTTATTTGCATACCATAATTTATTTAACAGTTCCTCTAAACAGTAAATTTAACTTACGTTCACTTTTCCATTTTATAAGGGGAGCACTATAACATTCTTTTATTCCCTTTAGAATATTTTCTTTGGTTACATTAGAAGTTGTTATGTATAACAACACAGTTTTCTTAAGTTTTTAATAAGTTTGTCAACTTGCCCTCCAGAAAAACTCTTCTAATTTATATACTTTTCACTAAAATGTCTCCCCAAATTCTTATAAGAAAATTCTTATAAGAATTTTTTGTACCAATTTGATTATTTACTGGACATTTGTATTTCTTGACTGTGTAGCTTCTTTCCCTCTTTGCTCCTTAATGTATGACATGTTTGTCTTTTTTAGATTGTTGTAATAACTAAAAAGTACATTAGTACTTTATGTTGTTATTTTTGGGGAAACATTTTATATCAGATTTATCAACCTTTACATCAGAATGATTTCTCTTTGTAGAGACTCTGATTTCCTGTATTTTTTCTCTTCCTTCCTGCAAAACCTCACAGGCAATACAGTATGGTACTGAAGATAACAGTACTGCAGTGGTAGTACCTTTTGGTGCTTGGGGAAAATACAAGAACTCTGAAATCAACTTCTCATTCAGCAGAAGCTTTGCCTCCAGTGGACGATGGGCCTGATCATGTGAGGGGACTTTGAGTTTCTGTGCAAATTTTTCACATCAAGAAGCTGATTATGTCAAACAAGTCATCAATGCCATAGTGACCCTGTGATTTAATAGATTAGTATACAAGTTGGTATAAACTTAGCCATTTACATAGCCATTTCTCATCTGTCATATTTTATGTAACTGTACATAAAAATATATGTATAATTCAGCTATTGTGAGTCTCTTAGATGAGCAAATGAAAAGTAATTTGATACACTCACTTGCTGAGTGTTAAATTTCATTTTTAAAACTCTTAGGCAGCTATGGTTTTTTTTCAGTCATTTTTGCTCTTTATTAAATTGAACAGATTTTTGTCTTCAAGCTCTTCAGAATTAGTCAGTATTTTGACAGCTACACAGTGTGTATCTGCAAGTGTTTATTTTTAATAACTAAACCAAGGACTAAGTATGAAAACGAGTTCTCTATTACCTGATTTTGTATTCTGTATTGCTTATTTGTAAATGTTACAACAGAAAAGAAGTTAATTTGAGTAACAGAACACTACTAAATTGTGAACATATTTACAAACAGTGCACTGTGTATTTTGACTGTGTCACCAGGCTCATCCTCTCTACCCCTTTTATTCCCATTTTCTGTAGCTAAGAGACTCTGTAGATGTGACTATTCCTTCATATTAAAAAAAATGCACAACCTAAGAGTCTTTTAGTCAGTTAAATACTAACATTGTCAGATGTTTTGTATAAAGTTTCTATTTGTTATCTCTAACACTGTTTTGTGTTATGTATATAGTATATTTATGTCACTTTGTATAGAGTAAGCAGATTGGATAATTTGTTAGTCAAATAACACTGTACTGATGTTGCTACAGATAGAGCTATAGACTTAAGTCTCCTTTTTGCTCATTTCTAAGACTCATAAGAAAGACTAAATCTAAAACATCCAAATTTCAGCTTGCTATGTAATTTAGGAGTATAAAACTACTTCATCTTATCTGCATGTACATTGACTGTTAAAATGTGAATCTATGAATGTGTATTTGGAATTATATTTGCAATTTATTTCTGAAGATAATGTAAATTTGTTACATGTTGGATGATGTACATATGTATATTTTGGAGTAATAGAAATTTAAAGGGAACAATAATGCATAGACCCTTCAACAGTTAGCTTAAAATTGTCGATATGTTTATCCCTAAGGATTCTTGCCAAACTGAGAGTTGTTTTCTTAAAGTAGAGAATGAATGGTTATTGGCAGATGAGGAAGTAGATTAAAAATAACTCTTGGAAATGTTTTATGATGGGTAACTTATGTGGAAAACCCAGGAGTAGAACCGGCATGTGAAGCTATGTTGCTATAGGCAATAATGCATACTAAAAATGTAGGATATGAGAAAAACATTGGTTGTCAAGAACATGGAATTTTATCATAGAAACAAAAGGAAAAGAAACCAAAAAGATAAAGTTGGTGTAGCATATGCCTTCAACTCTTACTTTTCAGGGTTGACTTTTGTTTTTACATTTTATTTAAAGGCTTATTAGAAGAGGGACCGGTATAAATATTCACATCTTCTTGCCTTTTGGGGAGTGGAGGAAAAGACACCTTGAGTTTTCCTGCTTGTATTAATCAAGAATTGTCCATTGAAAAAAAAGTAAATTAATATTTCAATCTTTTTCATGGAAGTTTGTTGAAAGAAAGAAAGTAACATTACAAGAAAGAATATAGTCTCCTATTTATTGTCTGAGAAGTGAGAAACCGAAGGTAGGCTAAAGAAGCTGGAAAATTTCCTTGCTGTTTGTGAGTTTAGTCTTGGAACATTAGTATGGAAACTACATTGAGTATATGGAGAATGTTTTAACAAGCAAGTGAAACTCTGAAGTACAAAATGACATTTTAAAGATATAATTTCCTTTTTTGTTTTGAATTGTTCACATTATTATTCCTTTGTCTTCTACTTTAAAAACAAAGGGTGGAAGTGATGTTGAGTTGTGATGTCTGTCATTGATGTACTGAGATGCAGTGCCATGTTTGACAAAGAGGAATTGTGTAGGGCATGGAGAGTGTTGTAAGCCTTGGTCTGGGATGGAGTTTGTTCTTTCTCACCTGTGAACTTTAAAACCCTAAACCACTCAATTTTGATGAAAGCATAAAATATACTGGTGTTTGTTCTTCCAGCCATAGAGGTAAAGTATGATATGTAGATTATTATAATCCAAAAAAGGTCTATTTACTGGGAAATTTTGGAATACACAAATAGTAGTGAAGAAAAGGACTGTTCTAAATAGTTTCTAAATTGCATCTCAATTTGCCAAGTGTCTATTACCATGTGGTATAGGTATGGTATAAAGTATATTAATATAAATAAATTTAAATCAATTGCAATTATGTCACCTTCACTTATATGTGGTATATAAATCACTTTCTAAAATGCATTGCCAAACTTTGCCAACATTGATTCGGTAAGAAGTTCTTCAAATCGTGACTTTTAGTAAGTGTAAGTCCCCAAGTCCCTTATATATTCAAAAGTAAATGCAAGCCTGTTCCCATCAACTCTTCATTTGTTACAGACTTTGTGCTTCACAGTCTCACATAATTATCCAGGGAAGAAAGCTCCGACCCCTCCAGAACTTTTTTCCCTTTATAATGTGAGCTCTTATCAAGTTCCAACATAGAAAAATATTATTTTGAAGAATTAGCATATGATCTAAATAGTGTTTTATCAAAGTGGAATTTGATTTTTTAGAATCTTGGCAGGGAATGGATAGGCCTACGCTAGGCTAACTCTTCAATGATCAGATAGGCCAGAGAAAACATTTAGTTACCTTTCTAAAATGAACAAGGATTTAATTTTGTGGTAATAATCATAGTAAGATGGGGTAGAGTGAGGAATAGTTACAAGTTCAGCATAAAACAGTTAAACATGTATTTTCCTTTAGCACCTCAATTGTTAACATACCCAGATCTGTGAAAATGGATAAAATTTTGGTGGAGTTACATTTTATTGTATCTATTAGATTAACTTATCTGGATGGCTTCAGGAGAAATGAAAGTTTTGTCTTTACAAACCAAATAGTGATGACCTGCCTATTGCTTTGGGCATCAGGATTAAGATTGGCTGGCTCTCTGGAAGCTCCCATTAGTTGCTATATGGTTGAAATGGTCCATTGATGTCATACTGAGTGGTCTGGTTTTGAAATCATGGAGTTCTTTCACCTCCAAGAATGGCTTATTGGCCATTGGATTCCAGTACAGTTTAGTAGCTTGGTGTGTATCAAGTTAATCTCTACCAAAGTGCTCTTGTGTACATGTGTTTTATAATTTGCCAAAGTACTACTTTGGTATATAGTACTTCCTGTAGTAAGCTGGTGTGATTGCTGCTTTGACCATTATTTTAAATATATATATTAGAATAACTGTGAATGGACTATGAGGACCTATCTCAGTGTTCAAAACATCATTTAATAAAATATATGAATTAAACAATTTAAAATCCATCTGTGTTTATCTGGCATTAAGTCTTTCCAACATCATGTGACCCTGTGAACATTGATATAAGATGGGTGGGGGTGAGAGATAGTTAAAAGTTCAGGGTCCAAAAGTTAAACACATATTTCCTTTCAAAGTACTTGGAACATCAGATAAAAGTTATGATGATTTCTATGTCACCTATGGTATATTTCTGTACAGCATCTTTATTAAAAATTAGAAATAGGTGGGCCTCCCCCGGTGGCACAGCAGTTGAGCGCTGGGCTGTGAAGCTGCCTGCAGCATCTGCAGCGCTGGTTCGATCCCCGGCCACCGGCGAGGGTCCCACATGGCAGGACAGACCTCTCTTGCCATACCTGCTGCTCCCCTCAGCGGTATATTTTGTTGTTCTGCCTGTTCTGTTCCCCCCTCTGGCTCTGATGAATTCTCTCACTCTCCCGCACTTCTGACTGTACCCAGTGCTTGTATAAATAAATAAATATTTAAAAATAAAATAAAATAAATTAGAAATAGGTATTTGGTAGTAATACTACAGAACTCAGTGTTAATACATTTAATATAACAATTTTTTTAAGACATAAGCAGTTTTTAATATCCTGCCATTGATTGCATAAGATGTAGTCATAATCCATTGGCACAAAGATCTAATCTGGATTTATCCCCTAAAGTTAACTTTATAAACTTCATGGTGACAGAGTCCCATTTTGTTCAATTCCATACCTCATACTTTTTATTTGTTTCACAATGAGGAGCAGGTGCTGGATCATTAATTTTTAAAGTTTGAACAAATAAGTTAATGCATCAAATTGCTTTAATTAATTTCATGTTAGAGAAGTGAACATTAGATAATATTAAATATTGAGGCAAGCATAGTATTTAATGATGAAGGAATGATAATCTCTTTTAACATTTCTTTAGACAATGATAATCTCTTGGTAAAGTATAGTTAGCATAAATGTGATTCAGAATTTTGTTCTGAACAAAATGTGAAAAAGCAGTGTTTGCTTCTTTAGAAGGTAGAGAGGAGAAAATGAATATTAAGGTTCTTTTTTTTTTTTTTTCATTTATTTATTTATACAAGTACTGGGTACAGTCAGAAGCGCGGGAGGGTGAGAGAATTCACCAGAGCCAGAGCTGGGAGCAGAGCAGGCAGAAGGACCGAAGTACACTGCTGAGGGGAGCAGCGGGCGGCAGGAGAGGTCTATGCGCCATGTGGGACCCTCCTCCGGTGGTGGCCGGGGAGCAGCCAGGGATCGAACCAGCGCTGCAGAGGCCGTGGGCAGCTTCGCAACCCAGCGCTCAACCGCTGCGCCACCAGGGAGGCCCGAATATTAAGGTTCTTATGTACTCTTTCCATATATTATCTTATTCTTCCCAGTAACCATGCAGTGAAATTTTTTTTTGTATATGATCAAATGGATTCTGTGAACAGTGAATAACATCAATATTTAACACAGAGTACTTTGACTTCAAAGTATATGTCCCTTCTAACATTCCTCTTATGTAAAAACAATTTACTAATCAAACATTAATATTCACGTGCAGAAATTTCTCTGGTGGGTGTGAGAAAGAATTACACAGACAGGATCCAGAGACTTAATAAACAGATGAAGATATTATAGGTATGTAAATAAACTAGGATAGAAAAATAAATTATGTCCAGGCCAAATGAGTATAACTTGGGAGCAATTATAGATGAATGAACATAATTCCTGCATTAAACAGTACAGAATTTAGATGATCATAGAGAAACCCAAAAAGTCAGGTTACCAGTGATAAACATTCATTAAGAACCTCAGTAGGGTCATATGTCTCTAAATGACACCAGTATGGATCTACCAGAATCTGGGGGAGGTAGTGATTATCTCCTTAGAAGAAATTTCTCAGGAGACAGAGATGTAAGGAAAGTGAGTTACACCAGAAAGACATCATTGTTCATCTGGAGAGGTGAAACACATTTGGAGGCAAGAGAGATCCATTGGTGAAGTCAAGAGTCTTTGATCACATGCCAAAGGCAGGGCCTTTCAAAGACCACAAGACTTATGTGTTGTCTTAGAAGAGAGGCGGCCCATGCAGGAAGTTACATATTTTCAAAACGAAATGCCAATTCTTTATTAAAAAATTACAAATTTCAAGACAGCAACTGTAGAAGCTTAGTGTGGGATCTTTCTAAGAACTGGGTCCTGTGTAGCTGCACAGGTTGTATTGCCATGAAACTGGCCCTGACAAAGGGAAGATACTCTGAGAACAAATGCTGCAAGTTAATATAGAACACCCAACAAAAGGAAACGGTGTAAACAAGCCAAGAATAGTGGTGTGTAGCGGAGAGGTGTACAGGTGCTAAGAGAGCACAAACCCTCAACTGAAAGTAATAGAAGAAAATTTTCCAACGTAAGAGCCAAGAGGACTAACAACCTTCAATAAATTTACCCTAGGAATTGTCCTAAGCATGATTACATATATTATCTTGTTTATTCCTTTCTTAATTATTGTAAGGTAGGGTAGGTTTTGTTGCAGGTCGAGTTCCTTGTAAAGCAGATTCTGAAACAGATTAAATTGAAAAATTGTTAAGGAATACTTTTGAGAACAACATATGTGAAGGGAAGGGAAATAGGTAGAAATGGGTAGAGGAAAATGTTGAGCTATGATGCAGAGTTCTATGTCCCCCAACTTAACAAAAACATAAGTGAGCTAATTAATAAATGGGAAGCAGATGGGAATAGACAATTTTCCAAAGAAGACATACAGAAGAACCATAGATATATGGGGAGAAAAAGGTCAAAATCATCTCTAAGAGAAATGAAATCAAAACCAGAATGAAATATCATTTCACACCTGTCAAAATAGCATACATCAAAAAAACTTCCAACAGGGCCTCCCCTGGTGGCACAGTGGTTGAGCACTGGGCTGTGAAGCTGCCCACAGTCTCTGCAGCACCGGTTTGATCCCCGGCTGCCAGTGAGGGTCCCACATGGCGCACAGACCTTTCCTGTCTCGCCCTCTGCTCCCTCAGCAGGGTATTTTGTCAGTCTGCCTGTTCTGTTCCCCACTCTGGCTCTGGTGAGTTCTCTTACCTTCCTGCGCTTCTGACTGTACCCAGTGCTTGTATAAATAAATAAATAAAATCTTAAAAAAAAAAAACTTCCAATAACTAGTATTGGAAAGGATGTAGAAAAAGAGGAAATTTAATGCATTATTGGTAGGAATGTAAATTGCTGCAGCCATTTTAGAGAATGGTCTTGTCTTAGTCATATCATCCAGCAATCCCACTTTTGGGTATCCAAAGAATGTTTAATTATAAACTCAAAAAATTGTTGTGTTCCATAATGTTTATTGTAGCATTATTTATAGGGGCTAGGATTTGGAAGCAACCCAGTACCCACTGATAGAGGACTGGATAAAGAAGATATGGTATATACACACAACAGAATATTATTCAGTTTTTAAGGAAGGATGAAATGTTACCATTTATAGCAAAATGGAAGAAACTCAAAGGAATTATCCAAAGTCAATTATACCAGAAAGATAAAGACAAATGTTGTACAATTTTACATATAGGAGGAATTTAAGGAAACAAAGCAGATAAGTACAGCAAAATAATTATAAATTAGTGGACAATGATAATAGAAGTGAGTTTTCTGAGGTTACTCTACAGCCATGCCCACAGATTAATATTTGATGGCCTAGCTAGGCAAGAAATGGACTACCGGAAATTTCTTTTCACTTTCTATTGAGTACTAAACTTAGAGGTTCAGGAAAGTCACCTTACTAATTTTTGTGAAACGCCATTCGGAAGCTCCAAGTGAGTTTTAAAGTAGATAGTGTAGACTAGCATCTACAGAATTTGGTTAGGTTTTTCACTGATTTTAGTTTACTTTTCACTATTAAAGGGAATTACTAGTAGCAGTAAACCAGAGACTGTCAGCTCTGGAAAGGGCCCATATTGGGGTCTTCCTCTGAGCAGATAGGGGGGTATCTGAAAGGTGACTAAATTGACAGATTTCTGTCTACATTTGTATAATCTCTTTAGACTGGAAAGACAATTCAGAAAAAGGATTCCTAGAATGAATACTCTAAGGAGGATAGAGAGAAAGAGTAGGGGGTTACAGTCTTTTGTGTTAGATATCTTTCATATATTAATTTTTCTTTGATGTTTTTGCAAGAGGTCTTTAAATAAGGCTATTTTTGGATCCTGAAGCTTTTATAGGCTTCTATATACCAATTAAAATAGGCATCCTTTGTTTAATCTGCCAACCCTCTTTCAAGTGCACATCTTAGATGAAAGATCTTATCTAACTGGAACCTTCCCCATAATGGCAATTGTAATTATAGATTGTTCTTAGATTTTGGCATTTTGTTAGGTTTAGAACTGTAGTTTTAGATATGAAATGAATAGGTATGCCACAAGGTGGTATGCTTGATTCTTTGGAATTTAAATATTTCATTTATTTTCAGTTGGGATTTATCTACATAAAAACAAACCAGTGCACCTTAAGATACCATCAGTAACTAAGAAGATGTTACTGTAGACTAGTTAAGAGAAGACCCTTAAGCACTAGCTATTTCCCAAAGTGGAACTGTTTATTGGGGAAAGGGTTAAACTAGTTAATCTCAACAGATGGGTACTATGGACTGATTCCAAACAAATGGGGGAATTGCAGACTGAACCAAGGACTAGAGATTCAGTTGCAGGTGGAGTTGCCTGCCAGTTCAAGCCTCTTCAGTAAGTCTTGCACTAGAAAGTCAGTTAGATCATATGCTCAAAACAAAGGGAATGGAGCTCAGAAGTCAGTGGAACTTACATACAGCCCTCAGAAACAGTGAGAAAGACAGTGAACTCAAAGTGTTTCTAGGCCACCAGGCATGTGTTTTTCATTGTTCCTGAATAGCATCAGAAGTTTGCTTTGACTACTGTTACTGCCAAAAGATCTGTAAAATGCCAAAACTCAAATCAGTTAATTTTGAAGATCTCATTGACTTTCTTAAGGGATTCATGAACTGGGCAGCAATCTATTTAGCAAATAGAAAGGTGCTCCAAAAACTAC